TACCACCTCTTTCTACCCAATTATGATGCTTTCTTCACATACTGGCAAAGCCAAAATTCAGGTAGAAGTTGTCTTTTTTTGTTGTTCTGTTACACTTTGCCATATAGTTCAGACTCCTATATCCGGTGTCTCCTTTTGCTCCTGGTTATTTTTCTGATGTTTCTTTAATATGGGAAGGAAGGAAAGAGGTACCATAGTAGGAAAAGAGGGGGGCAGGGAGAGCAGGAAAGCAAAATAAAGATTTATATCATGCTGTATTAGCATGTCATTATAAGGCTCCTGACTTTGTCATTCTTGGCACATCCTCACCCCCCATATGCAATTCATCAACAGGCCTTGTTGACTTAACCTCTGCAATATCTCTCAAGTCTATCCACTTCTTTCCATTTCCACCATCTTTGCCCTAATTCAATCTCCCCAAATAGCTCCTGTCAACTTGCACCCCCTCTTGCCTGTCCACACTATAAGCAAAATGACCACAAAGAACTTTTAAGCCTCATGCTAACCCCTGTAGGGAATAATAATAGCAATCATCATTACCGTTGATTAAATTTGTCGAGCACCACCTATATGCCAGCACTATTTTTAATGCTTTAATGTCTAAGTCACTTAATCTTCACAACCCTAGAGGGTAGATATTATTATTACTCTTGTTTTAGAGACGAAGAAATTGAAGCACCGAGATATATGTAATTTGTCCAAGGATACACAGCAATTAAATAGTGGAACCAGTTTAGGAACACAGTCTAAAGGAATTGTCAAGTAATACCTACGTAATTGATATGTATATATGGCAGTGCCAGAGGGCTCACAAAGCCAGTGGCGGAGATTGTTGCAGACTCCAAAGGATGTCAAGTGAATTGCATCTCACTGGTTGATTGAGAGTAGCTACTTGGACTGCTGGGTTGAGAAAGATTGTGTGGCTGCATCTGGGCCCTTTGGGAAACTGAGGGATTAAAGATGTCTATCTTGGGCCAGGTCCTGGCTGGAGTGGGGAGTGTATTTGTGTCCTGTTGCCGGTGTAACAAATTATCACAAGTTTAGTGGCTTAAAATAACACAAATGGGTCTCCTTGGGCTAAAATCAAGGTGCTGGCAGGGCTACATTCCTTTCTGGAGGCTCTAGTGGAGAATCCTTGCCTTGCCCCTGGCGGCTCCCAGAGGCTGCCTCATTTCATTGGCTGGTGGCCCCAGGAACTGCCTCCCTCTCACTCTGCCTCAGTCCTTACTCCTCTTTCTCTGACTCGACCTTTCTGCCTCCTTCTTTCACTTTTTAAAGAACTCTCTCATTTCAGTGAGCCCACCAGGATAATCCAGGATGGTCTCCAAAACATCTCAAAATCCTTAATCACACTTGCAAAGTCTCTCTTCCCACGGAAGGTAACATATTCCCAGGTTCCAGGGATCAGGAGGTGGACTTGTTTGGGATGCCATGGCTCTGCTTACTCAGGGAATGACTGCACCGTGTGCTGAGGAGGCTCCCCTGGAACCAGACTCTAGTCCTGTGAGCACAGGGACTTCAGTCCTACATGCTTTCGTATCCTTCATGTCTGCCACACAATAGGTATGCAAATCCTTGATGAATGAACAAATAAAAGAACTAATTTTTAAAATGCACAGGATAATAGGGCACCTATTTTAGGAGTAAAGAAATGCTGTCATTTTTAACATGAAAATTGGGGGGGTGTCATATTTTAATCTTAATGGGATACCACAGTGTGGGCAATGCCAAAATGAATGGTGGTAACTGAGGTTACCATGAAGCAGATCTCAGTGCTGAATGGATTTTTGGATTTGTCTGTGTTTTCATCAGTTTGGGCTGCTATAGCAAATCACCACAGACTGGGTGTCTTAAAAACGACAGAGACTTATTTCCTACAGTTCTGGCAGCTGGAAGTCTGATGCCAGGAGGCCAGCATGGTCCGGTTCTGGTGAGAGCCCTTGTCCAGGTTGCACACTGCCAACTTCTCCTTGTATCCTCACATGCCACAAAGATAGACAGCGAGCTAGTTCTCTGGCCTCTTCTTATAAGAGCACTAATCCCATCCATGAGAGCTCTGCCCTCCTGACCTAATTACACCCCAAAGGCCCACCTCCTAATACCATCACATCGAGGATCAGGATTTCAGCATATGAATTTGGGGAGCACACAAACATTCATAGCACCAGTCTTTTCTTGACACCACCGTCTTATAATCGCACCAGAGGACAGAGGTCTGATACAAACAGAAGTATGTAGAATCCATTTAATCCGTCGGAAGATGGTGGGGAGGAGGGGCAACCTGTTAGCTCAGCAGCAGCCTCAGTCTCCCATGGAGAGCACCTCTCCTTGCTCAGATGTAGCACCGGTGCCTGGAGCCACACCACTCTGAATCCCAGATAAAGCCAGGTCTTTCAGGAGCTCCTACTCCGCTCCAGATTTAGCTCAAGATTCTTACGAAGTCCCACCTACTCCGGCTCTTGCCTTCCTTTCCAGCCTTGCCTCTTCTCTCCCAACCCCCACTCCAGCCACACTGGTCTCCAAGGCAACTCCTTCCGCCTCAGGGCCTTGTGACTTGCTATTTCCCTAGTTATGGAATGCTCCTGTTACCTTCTTTTGCCCAGTTAATTCCTATCTGTCCTTGGGCTCAGCTTAAAAGCATATCCTGAAAGACATTATTTTTAACTTGTAGATCTACATCAGCACCCCTTCCCCATAAATGGTGGCATAGTGTCAAGAACTTAGGGCCTGGACTCATACTGCTTAACACTGTAGTGTAAGTCCACCACATGTAGATCCTCACGCCTCGATTTCTTCATCTTTAAAATGGGGCTAACAATAGCATCTACTGCAGAGGACTGTTATGAAGATTAAATGAGACCATTTATGTAGGAAGTTTGGAAGAACTATTAATGTAAGCTATTATTTTCCTTTAGAGCATTTATCCAAATTGTGACTATTAAGTTATTTTTGTTATTATTTGTTGAATATGTTTTCCTATATACAATAGGCACTACATTGGCAATGCAGCGTCCCTCCTGCAGTGCCTGGCACATTGCCTGCCATGCTGTAGGCCTTCCATTGACATTTCTTGAATGGATGGACAGATGCACACATTAACTGTACCTGGGACCCATGAAAAAGTGTCATCTTGTCAGGAAATAACCAATATTATTAAAGAACACTGTCTGGAAATTTTTGATTGTCATATTCTGGGCTGATTCACAGCCTAAAGTTAGATGCAACATTCACTGTCTCTCTCTTTCTGTGGCCTGTTCACACACAGGACCTTGTGCTGCTCACTGCAGGCAGATTGATGAAACATCTCAACAGACGCTGACATTCCATATGTTACAATTTACACATTCCTGCCGGGGTCAAGGTAGGGAATGGCATGCGTGCTAATAGCTGCATTTCTCCCATGAACTTTCACATAAACCCTCTTCCCAGCTCATTTTACTGATACATTATAATATACTTTTATAAACAGTGTTTTCAAGGTCATGAATGAATGCTTCCTAATTTCCAATTTTAGAGGATTACAAGTCTAGAAAGGGCAGCTAGAGGTTTCTTTAGCCTAACCACTCCCACAGCCGGACTCTATCTGAACCATCCTAGTCGATCTCCAAGGAAACAGGATAACATTTTTCACTGAGTCCCACAAGCTCTCTCTGGTTCTTCCTTCCTTAGGTCTCAAGGGTACGATGGCTATTTGGGTTAATTGTGTATTTTTTACTCTAATTGTATTTGAAGTCTTAGAAAAAAGTGTCCTTTTGCCAGAAAATATCCAACAAAATTGCCAAACCCAAATGGCCACCGTTGAGCCAGTTCCCTGTGTCAGTGGAAACCTCCCACGGAGTGTTTGCTTCTTGGCAAGGAGTCCCGCCAACATCAGTCTTCCTGTGCCTTCATTTTATTCTGACCTGAATTGTCAGTCAAGTTCTATCTTTACTCTATTTGTCAAAACACCATTGTTCTCTCTCCTCCCTGTGGCGGTTTCATTTCTATTGTTAAAAAATCGTAAGTCAGAGCAGCCTTAGGTTGATGGAAGCCGATCTCATTGACTGTGCAGTCTAGTTCGTGGCCGAGAGCCAGTCTCACCTTTGGTGTTCAATAGACCATGGAAGTCATCTCCTGCCAACCAACGCTGGCTCCATCAGGAGACAACAACCCACAAAGGAATTTCTGTCCCCAACTGTTCAGTGCCAGGGCCACCACTTATTGACTGGTGGTTTCTACAACAGGACAATCTCTTCTCCATCTATAATATCTTCATGTAAAATAATAAGCTCATTAAGAATAAAATGTATCACTTTTCTCAGAGAAGTGTCAGGTAAGTGTTTTCTGAATAGTCTGTGGCTGCAAGCTATTACTGAAAAGACACAGTGTTTAGTGCTAACCTAGGACTATCATACACAACACCAATTTTATGTGAGGGTGGTATAACAGATGTTTTTAGATGCAGAGTAGAAATACTATAATTTAGGATGTTCCCACTGTCATGATTTTTCCCCTCCCCATTTCTAATGTGATTTGCCCAGAGGATGTATTTTTAAAACAGAATTTCAAATTCAATACTTATATTAGATTGGGTTCTAAATGCCACTTAAGGGAAAAGTGATTTTTCCAAAAGTGAAAAAGCAATTTCTTTTTCTGTCTCTATAAATTTTTATTATAAAATAGTTGCTGGCTATTAATCAATGTCACCCTAATAAATTTAATTTAAAAATTATTGTTGGGACAATTTGTTAAATAGATTGATTAAAAAACAAAAACAAAAAACAACAACAACAAGGATTAGTGGGAATTGAATTGGACAGTTTAGGAGACTCCTGAAGAAAAGATCCAACCGACTTCCAGAAAGAAAAAGATAATTTCATTTATGGCCTCAAGAAACAGAATGGCTTTGTATTTCTCAAAAACAATGCTAGAAGTTAAAAGACAAAGAGTAATATCTTCGAAATTCCAAGGGAAAATAATTTCTAATCTATAATGATATAGCCAGCCAAATATCACCCAAGATGAGAAAAAGGTCATCTTCGGACAGACAAATCCCCTCCAAGTCCATCTCTACCTTTCTTTACCGGAGACTTTACCAGGTAAGTCTTTCTTTACCCGGTCCCAGAAGGCTGGCCTGTGTGGATTGCATCACTGGGATCCATTGCCTCCCACTTTCAGTAGGATTTGGCCAATGGGAAATACTGGCAGAGTTTGTAGAGAGAAATAACAACAAGGTCAGGCTACTTATTCCCTGGCTCCTTCCCTGCCAAGTCAGCTCAGGTTGACTTCCTTACAGGTCAATATTCCTATAAGGCGTCTGCAACGACTTCAGTTCCTCCGTCTGGGTTCCAGGAACCACTCCTTCCCTTTGCCCTCTCTCTCAACCACATGGATGGTAACAGGCTCCCTGCAGTGTCAACGGTCAGGGGGCTTTACCACCCCTTGTAGATTTCCCTTAACCTTGCCCACACCTTTTTAGATAGACACTTCCTTAAAATTCTTCAATTGCCCTATCTGAGTATATCATCTGTTTCCTGCAGGACCCTGACCAACACAGATGCCTGGATAATTAATAGACGATGTTACTATTCCTTGAAGGCAGTACAGTTGTGGCAAAGGCTTTAGAATCACATCCACCCACATACATATCATAGCTCTGTGATTTTCTAGCTGTGAAACTTTGGACAAATGACCAGCTCTCTGTGTCTCATACATAAAATGGGGATGTTTATATGACTTTCCTCCCAGAGTTTCTGAGAATCAAATGAAATAATCCAAAAAATATTTATTTCAGTGCCGGTCACTTAACAAGCACTCAGTTAAAGGTGGTTATTATTATTTATTGTTATTATTCTTGTGTTATTGTTAGCCTGCTAAGAGCTGCCCACTCTGCAAAGGGACCAAATGACTCAGATGGCCGGATGCCACCCTCATAAGCCTCACAGCCTCACTTGTGAATCCTGATGGGGGGGCAAAAGAAAACTGAACCAAATGGGGAAGGTTTGTGCCTGGACCCTGAAGCATGGCTTGGGTTGAGCAGGCTGATCTTCCTTCTTGGGTTGGGTCCTGCTGAGTAGGGTGGGGCATCCTCTGGCAGTTGGCTCCAAGTTCCACCCGCAATCCTTAGTTCCTGATCATGGTGCTCTTTGCCAGAGATAAAGGGGAAGCTGGAACCAAGATGCATTTCTGAGAAAAGCCGTGATTCCAAATACCTGGCTGAGGCTCTGTGGCGGTCTTCCTAAGGCACTGGGCCCGGCAGAGCCGTTCCAGCCTCTGAGCACACGACTCCCAGCCTGGCCTATTTAACCCCTCTCTCCTACCAACGCATAAGAAGCTCCAGGGAGTCCACCTTGATGGAGTTCTTCTTTTAATATAACTGCAAGGTGCCAATTTGTCCCTGTGAAACCAAATTCTTTTTTTGATTTGCAATCTTGCTTTGGCTTACGACTTTGGGATTGTTGTGTGATTGGTGGTGGGGTGAGGTGGATGGGAGAGGAGGTGTAAAAAACAAACTGCTTTTGTGGGAAAAGGTAAAAGTGAGAAGGGCCAGCTCAGTAAATGTCAGAAATGTGTAGGTGCAAGCACATGAAAACATCTCTACATACACATGAGCTTCTGGGTTTATAAAGGTGCATTGTCTGCTTCCTATGACCATCAAAAACAGCCTAGCTCACCCTAACCGGTTTGGCTCAGTGGATAGAGCATCTGCCTGAAAACTGAAGGGTCCTGGGTTTGATTGTGATCAAGGGCATGTACCTTGGTTTTCGAGCTTGATCCCCAGTAGGGGGCGTGCAGGAGGCAGCTGATCAAAGTCTCTCTCATGGATGTTTCTAACTCTCTATCCCTCTCATTTTCTCTCTGTAAAATCAATAAAACATATATTTTTAAGCACACACACACATACACAAAACAAAAAACAAATGGCCTAGCTCTGTGATGTCGGGAGAGCTACTTTGTTTAAAACGTAAGCGTACCTTTCCATTGAGCTGCCTCCTGCTGTGACTAGAAAACCTACCGGTGTGCTTGAGCATTCCGCCTCTGCTCTCTCTTCAATCCTGGGGTAGGAAAATTCAAGTTTAGAGAGAGAAAGAAGATGAATGAATCAGAAGGAGGAAAAGAACACCTTGGGATTCCTTGAAATAGCAAATTCTTTTTGTTAACTCCCCCACAGTACATTGACACTATTATCCACTGTATTTAACAACAACAAAATTAATTTCAGGGACACAGCCATTGTATGAAGTAAGGTATGCCAGAATGATACAAACAGGAAGTGGGTGGGTCAGACTTTAGTAAACACTGGTGGAAACACAGTCTGTGGCAAAAGCAATTGAATTTTACTTTGGTCTGTGGATCTTGTCATTGGGTTGGATGGTAAGTCCGATTCTGAGGATAAGCTATGCCAAGTGGATCTTTACTGTTTATCCACTTTACTTCCTTCCAGAATTCTGATGCTGTACCATCCAAAACGATGACTGCTGCTCTGGTGACACCACATTCTAGACGGCTAACAGTGGGCAATCCAAATCTGCCAGCACCTATTTCCTCACCTCAGAAATGGAGATAATAATCTCTCATTAAAATGGTTGTTATGAGAAGTAGAGAGAATGTCTGAGAAGCCTGGGTACTCCGTAATGATGGCTAATAAAAATAATAACTATTATTATGAAAAGAAGAGAAAGAGGAGGAGGAGAGGAAGAGAAAAAGAGGAGAAAAGCTAATTCTAATTACATGAAAAGTCACTCCACAGGGCCATCTGGGGAACAAAAGAGTAATTTTATAGTATGCTTTTAAAAAATCTTATTGAACATGCTCTTAAATAAGCTTGCTAATTTTCCTAATGGGATTATTTCTTTGTTTCTAAGCTTCAACATTTTACTCTGTTTTAATTATACAATATTTTAGGTCTGACATCAAAAAAGTGCATCATCTGTTTTTATCTTTCTCAGCCTCATCCACATCCGTGGTTACTGTTGCCAGGTATCCTGGGGTCACCTAAAGTACTTTTGTTCTAGAGACCTTTCAGAGTAAGCCAACCCAGCAGTTTAGAAAACTTCTCTTGTTTGTAGACAAAAATACATTAAAACAACCAAGGGAGTGAGTACTCTCTGGGATAATTATTTTTAATGTCTTACTGGACACGTTTGAAATGCTTTTCAGGTCCTTTGGGAGTCAAACCAGGCGGAAATCTTTTTTGTTTTACGTCTTGGAACTTGTTTGGTAAATGTCTGATGTTTGCACATTGTGTAACGTTCATCCCGCCATCACCACCCCCCTCCCCCAATCCTGTCTTAAATGATGTCAGGATTTCATCAGCATTAAATAGGCAACAAAAATACAGGGTAGAGAGGATTAATGGTTTCTTTGTGGCTTTCTGGTTATCTTCCTTTGAGTCTATTACTAAATGCAGCTCTAAAGGCTTATTGTGCTTTTGGGTTCCGTCAGCCAGTCACTTTAATTCCAAACCAGAAGAGCTCCCCCTCGGGGGTCTCCTTGTTGCTAAACCTTTACTGAGAAATCATTGATTAATTCCAACAAAAAGGTGCTGTCAGCATGCTAGGTATCTCTACATGTCGGGCCTCTGTAACATACAATGATGCTTTCCTAATTTTAACCATATTGCAATTAGCTAATTACAGACCCACAGAGGCCTTCTTGGTGAAACTTAATGGATTTCATCTCTCTGATTACCACTGAGAGGAACTGAGGCAAATTCTTGGACCTGGTGTAAACGAAGTTTGTTACAAGGATACTTTTTATAGCAGGACTTCCACATCCTGCTTTGAATGTGACCGAGTCCTGTAGCATAGCCAGACTCTGAGCAAGTTGAGAGCATGGACTTTGTATCTCCAGTTTGGTTACTGGGCCTGTCATAGGTACTCCGTAAGTGCAGGCTGTTACAGAAAAATGGTTCTTGCCTCCCACAGGTCTGGCCTCTGAGAAAACTGTCACTAACTAGCTGTGTAGTCATGGGCAACTCATCTAATGTCTTAACTGGAAAACGAGGGTGGAATAGATGCTCTTTAAAGCCCCTTGCAGCTGTAACCTGCTGCAAACCTCTGACTCAACCTGGAGAGAGATTATCTTATGGATCCCATGTGAACTGAGTGATACCTGGGGAGGCACCATATTGAGTTAGAAAAAGGGGGTGATGAATAACTTTTTGGTAAGTAATATTTAGATTCCTCTCTCTCCAAATAATTACTTAGAGCATGTACAACATTTCTTTAAAAATGAAGAAGACCAGCTATCTCAAATATGGTCATCTCTTGAACATGGTTCTGTTGATGTAATTCAGAAGGGAAGTGCTGCCTCCCTGGGGCTCTCCACGCATGCGACCCATCTGAGATGAGCAGGTGGATTTTTTTCTTCTTTTTAAAATCTGTTTTTCAAACACAGAGATGATCAAGGAGCAGCTTTGGCATTACCCACCCATCTTAGATCCATTTGTGATAGACAGAATGAGAACTGTGCTCAGTGAGTCCAGTTGCCTTAAGGAAATGGGGCAAAACTGACCTAACAGATGTTCATGCTTATCCAATAATAATGATGCATTGTGTTTATTTGGAACACAACTAAATCGTTCCTACTGACTTCAAGGTCCCAGTGCAAAATCCTGGATTCAGATCCTGTGGATTTATCACACCCGCTGGAGCACATTGGCTTTCCAACCCTCTGAGTGGATTATCCTCTTCCATTAGAGTGGTCTCATCCTTTCCAAAAGATAACATCTTGTTTCTCTGGCCTGAATTTCTTTCAAAACACAATTTGTGAAAACAACGTGTGAGAACACATGACAATGGGAAGTGCTCAGCGGGAATGCTGCAATAAATATGTCAGGTATATAAACTAGCCCATGCTATTTATCTGGTCCTTAAGAAGAAAGTATTGGGATCTAATAAATTACAATCATTTTTCAGCATCTCAGATTTCTCCGGTAACACATATATGTTGGCAGAGTTTAGTGGATCGTGCTAATTTATTTGTGAAGCATCAAAGGAAAGAATAAAATAATGTCTCCAGGCAGTGGAGTGGAGTGCGAAGGGACTGGAAAGCCAGTCGGGCAGCAGCAATATTTTCCTGCGCCAGAAGTAAACAT